TTAAAGCTGAGAATAGTAGCAATCAAACGTAGAAGAAATTCCCGTTATGGTAAATTTTAGAGTTATCGGGTGCATGGATAAATTGGATCTGGCAATTGGGCGGGCGCTGATGGAGCACCCGTGCCAAATATTGCCCACATTTATTGGCTAAAGGTTAATTGTTACGTGCCTTACCTCACACGATGAGGGAGTGGGAGTCTAACAATTGGAGAAGATCACGGCGGCCATTAGACAAGTTTACAGAGACCAGGAAAATGAGTGTTTGCTTGTGGGAGGTTTCTAGAGTAGTGATAACCGAGAACAACCAGCGAATCTCAGAGGCCCGGGCCTTCTTCAAACAAGAGCCGTGCTGGATAAAACCCCCCCTAAGAACACACTTCAGGGCCTCACATTGGACGAGGGGACCCGTTGCATCCATAGCATTATCAAGAACAAAATGTTGGATGGCTCTTGTGACATCTTTAACATATAGGGAATCCTTGAGCAGATTGTCATTTAAACAGAGCTACGTGAAGGCGTGGGGAGGTTGTGTATGGTGAGATGGGGGGGGGGGGGTCCGACCATAAGAAGTGACCAAGTGCAGCTGAAATAGGGGAATCGAGTAAAGATTGAGGAAAAAAATAATTGATACGACTATAGGAAGTGTGGGCTGCCGAATATTTAACTGTAGTCCCTCTCTGTAGGGTGTAAAACTCGCCAGACATCTACTAATTGCAAATCATGTAAATGCGATTTAATTTGAGCTAGCATGGGGCAGGAAATAGAGGACTTACCCGAGGAGGTATCTGTGGCAGGAGAGAGCGCTATATTAAAGTCACCCCCAACAATGAAGATAACTTGGTAAAAGTCTCAGAGAGAAAATGCCCCTGGTCCTGATTAGGTGCATATATGTTTACCACCGTAAAGATGAAGTTCTGATATTTCATTTTAAGAAAAATATAACGGCCAGAAGAATCTATAAGGGAGTCCAAGACCTCAGGGCTAAAAGTGTTATGGAAAGCCACTGGCACCCTTAAATGAGGGTCATCTCTGGGACTTCTCCAGAGTCTCTCCCATCCTCTGGAACTCCCTACCACAGTATGTCCAGTCAGACCCCACCCTGTCTGCCTTTAGGTGATCTTTGAAAACTCACTTATTCAGGGAAGCCTACCCCACCTCCACCTAAGAACTGTAATTGAATCACCTCCGCCAGATCACCCCCCACAGCTATCACCTTTGGTATCGCCTCCCACTTCCTTTAGATTTTAAGCTCCATGAGCAGGGCCCTCCTATTCCTTCTGTACTGAAATGTATTGTATTTGTACTGTCTCCCTTATATTGTAAAGCGCCGGGCAAACTGTTGGTGCTATATAAATCCTGTATAATAATAATAATAAACACTGTGTTTTACCATCCCTCCCCTTCCAGAAATAACAAGTCTGACCCACCAGGAATGCCCGCTGGTATTCCCATGGCAAGGGTGTTGTGAATGTGTAGCCCCAGCCATGTTGATGCCACCCACATGACCTTAAGCATTGGAGTGTTTTTTGGGAGGGTTTCTCAAGAAAAAAAAAAAAACCTTTCTAAAACACTGGTGCCCAGTGTTGATGGACATCAGGTTCTATGGCACCACAAAACCTAAATTAGGGAGAGGGGTTGGTGTGGTACCTAGATGCCCATAGGAGGCACGTAGGAAGTTGCATCCCTCCCTAGAAATAGTTTTAGGGTTCTTTTTGCTCAGTGTGGTTGTTTTATTCAAGCCAAGTGCAAGAATCTCAGAGTGCCAGGTGACCACAGACAGTCTTTTCTCATGAATTCTTCAATGATCCTATTTATGGGGTTTACCTATCATGTCACCTCTTCAGTCAACCGAGATTTTTGAAGATTCTGGCAAGTGCTCTGTTCATCATCAAAGCTCTGTCAGCAGTAGTGTGCTAAGCCAAATTTTCAGGGAGAGGAGATTGGATCAGCGTGGGACCATTGTATCTGAAGCCAAATAACCAGACGTCATCACCTGCTTGTCTCATGATTCTGGCAGTATTGCGCTGGAGGCTGGAAGAAAACTGATTTAACCAGCATGTGACTGAACAGTCAGTCAAGGAAAGAAACCTAATCATTCTACACAGGTTTACTTTGCAGGAAAAGTGTGCAAGTATTTAAATTTTTCACTTTGTTCTCCAAGCCTCCAATTCAGGAAAATGCCTTCCTGGCAATTAATTTCTCTATGTTGTGTCACAACAGATAAGTAGCTTCTCATTACTGACATTGGCAGGAGAACATCAAGTTTGCTGTCCCTGTTAATACTTGGGTCTTTGGAACATTTTGATTACATGCCCCACCGTCATAAAACTATTTATAAAATTAGGGCGTGTTTCCCCTTCTCTGTATATGATAGCTGAAACTGGTCTCATCCAGGGGGAAAATGCTCACAATTCCCACAATAACCTCCTATAATACAACAGGAGCTTCTCTTGTTCCTCCCTGTGTAGGCTACATCTTGGGGTTGGTCCATTTCAGCTAGAAAAATACCAGTGACATCTGTGATAGCCATCAGTTTCAATGCTGGCTTTGTCAATTGTTCTGAGAGATTGGGAAATTGCCATACAAACTTAGTTGCCCAGCTAAAATACCACTAATTTTAATCAGGAAATAATCTGTTTCCTTTCTCCATCTCTTCCTTCCTTTTTCCTTCCTTCCTCTTACTTCCTTCTTCCATTTTCCTTCCTTCTTAATACAAACTTCACAATTACTAAAACCTTTTTCCTCCCTACTCTTCCCCTCTTTACACTCCCTCAAAATCTTCCTCTACTTCCTTCTATCCCTCCCCTTTCCTTCCTTCCTCTAATCCAAATAGATAATATATATTATCTTCCTTCTTTCCCTCTTCCAGTCCCAACAGATAATTATTTCTGTCCACCTTTCTTGCCTCATTACCCTCTTTTATCCAGTGCCCAGAAATCCTTTCTCCTTCATTTTTTTATTTTTTTCTTCCTTCTTCTCTGGTAGGCCTTCTTTCCTTCCTAAATTGCAACCACTATAACATAGCCAGCACTTCCAGATATGAGGATGCATAAGTTCTCCTTCCTTGATTTAAAGCTCACATCTGAGCCACCAATTGCCAGACCCCTCACATGAAGGCCGGGGTGATATCAAAATATAAAAGTGCCAAGACAGAACTTACACAGGGTTAGCACTACACAAAAATGGGATACAGGAGCACTGCTAAGATGAGCATAGGTTGGTGGGGAACTTTAAAGAGATCCAACAGACCTCTCGATATAACTGATAAAGGTAGGCTGGATAGTGAAAAAAGCAGTAATTTTCATACCCCTGTAAGATATACAGCTCTGAACTAAAGGAGAGAAGCCAGGAGTAGTTTGCAGTGCTAAGAGAATGCAACTGTCCTAAATTTGAATCATGAACCTTATCAACAATATCCATGAAAACAAACCAAATGGGTTGGATCTGTATTTCCCAATGAAGCATTCAAAGCAAAGCTTTTACATTGAGTACTAAAATTCCCAGTTTTTCCACATGTCCACAACTAAATACTTTCCTGGCCAAAAGTGTCTTTATTTTGTTAAAGAGGTAACTCTTGTAGCCCTTTTATGGAGGGTTATGAAAAATGGACCTCCCTAAGCAAAATATTGCGCAAACCTTGTAGTTAAGTGGAAGAGTGGGTTTCTTAATAAAGTTGGCAGAGCCTCTATCCAGGACAGGGCCCCGCTGAACACAGGGGATTCCCTTCCTGGAATATGAACCAGTAATCTAATCAAAGTAGTTGGACGCAGATGAACTACTGCAACAAGCATATAACATTAACAATACATATACTGTATATATGCACACGGGTATGGAAATAACACAAGCCCGGGTATATATATATAGCAGACTGTGTTCTTCTATTGTTGTGACTTAGATGACGTTCAGAGCACATTTTATGCCCAATTCATGCAAAACTCCACGTAATCCCAAGGGGTTCACATACTTTTTCTTGCAACTGTATATATATACACACACATACTGTATTTCCCAAAGTATTGGGACACCTCTCCAAATTCCCTCCCTGGATTCAGGTGTTCCAATCACCTCCATGGCCACAGGTATATAAAATCAAGCACCTAGGCATGCAGACTGCTTCTACAAACATTTGTGAAAGAATGGGTTGCTCTCAGGAGCTCACTGAAATCAAGCGTATTACTGTGATAGTTTGCCACCTGTGCAATAAGTCCATCCGTGAAATGTCCTGGCTACTAAATATTCCACTCTCAACTGCTATTAGTGATATTATAACAAAGTGGAAGCAACTGGGAACAACAGCAACTCAGCTACAAAGTGGTAGGCCACATATAATGACAGAGCGGGGGTCAGCACATGCTGAAGCACACAATGCGCAGAAGTTGCCAACTGTCTGCAGAGTCAATAGCTAAAGACCTCCAAACTTCATGTGGCCTTCAGATTAGCACAACAGCAGTGCATAGAGAGCTTCATGGAATCGGTTTTTCATGGCCGAGCAGCTGTATCCAATCCTTACATCACCAAGTGCAATGCAAAGCATCAGATGCAGTGGTGTAAAGCATGCCGCCACTGGACTCTAGAGCAGTGGAGACATGTTCTCTGGAGTAACCAATAATGCTTCTCTCTGACAATCTGATTGATGTGTCTGGGTTTGGCAGTTGCCAGGAGAACAGTGCCTGACTGCATTGTGCCAAGTATAAAGTTTGGTGGAGATTATGGTGTGGGGTTGGGCTTGGCACTTAGTTCCAGTGAAGGGAACTCTTAAGGTGTCAGCATACCAAGACATTTTGGACAATTTCATGCTCCCATATTTGTGGGAACAGTTTGGGGATGACCCCTTCCTGTTCCAACATGACTGTGCACCAGTGCACAAAGCAAGGTTCATAAACTGGGGCTTATATACACACACCCGGGCTTGTGTTATTTCCATACTGGTATGCATCTATACAGCATATGTATTGTTAATGTTATATGCTTGTTGCAGTAGTTTATCTGCATCCAACTATACACCTGTGGCCATGGAAGTGATTGGAACACCAGAATCCAATGATTTGGAGGGGTGTCCCAATACTTTTGGCAATATAGTGTATATACAGTATATATACACTGCTCAAAAAAATTAAAGAAATGCTTTGAAAACACATCGGATCTCAATGGGGAAAAATGTCATGCTGGATTTCTATACTGATATGGACTGGGTAATGTGTTAGGACGTAAAGATGCCCATAGTTTGATCGAGATGAAAAATTATCAACCTACAGAGGACTGAATTCAAAGTGAAAAAAATGATGCAGCAGGCTAGTCCATTTTGCTGAAATTTAATTGCAGCAACTCAAAATGGTACTCAGTAATTTGTATGGCCCCCACGTGCTTGTATGCATGCCTGACAATGCCATGGCATGCTCCTAATGAGACGATGGATGGTGTCCTGGGGTATTTCCTTCCAGATCTTGACCAGGGCATCACTGAGCTCCTGGACAGTCTGAGGTGCAACCTGGCGGTGTCGGATGGACTGAAACATTATATCCCAGAGGTTTTCTATTGGAGTTAGCTCAGGTGAGCGTGGGGGCCATTTAATGGTATCAATTCCTTCATCCTCCAGGAACTGCCTACATACTCTCACCACATAAGGTCGGGCATTGCCGTGCACCAGGAGGAACCCAGGACCCATTGCACCAGCGTAGGGTCTGACAATGGGTCCAAGGATTTCATCCCAATATGTAACGGCAGTCAGGGTGCCATTGTCTAGCCTGTAGAGATCTGTGCGTCCCTCCATGGATATGCCTCCCCAGACCATCGCTGACCCACCACCAAAACGGTCATGTTGAACCATGTTACAGGCAACATAATGTTCTCCATGGATTCTCCAGACCCTTTCACATCTGTCACATGTGTTCAGGGTGAACCTGCTCTCATCTGTGAAAAGCACAGGGCACCAGTGGCAGACCTGCCAATTCTGGTGTTCAGTGGCAAATGCCAAATCGAGCTCTATGGTGCCGGGCAGTGAGCACACTAGAGGACGTGGGGTCCTCACGTCACCCTCATGAAGTCTGTTTCTGTATGTTTGGTCAGAGACATTCACACCAGTGGCCTGCTGGAGGTCATTTTGTAGGGCTCTGGCAGTGCTCATACTGTTCCTCTTTGCACAAAGGAGCAGATACCAGTCCTGCTGATGGGTTAAGGACCTTCTATGGCCCTGTCCAGCTCTCTCCTAGAGTAACTGCCTGTCTCTTGGAATCTCCTCCATGCTCTTGAGACTGTGCTGGGAGACACAGCAAACCTTCTGGCAATGGCACATATTGATGTGCCATCCTGGAGGATTTGGACTGCCTGTGCAACCTCTGTATGGTCCAGGTATCGCCTCATGCTACCTGTAGTGACACTGAACCTAGATAAATGCAAAACTAGTGAAAAACAGTCAGATGAGTAGGGAAAACATTTCAGTGGCCTCCACCTGTAAAACCATTCCTTGTTGGGCGTTGTCTCATTGTTGCTCATCTAGTGCACCTGTTGTTAATTTCATTAACACCGAAGTAGCTGAAACTGATTAACAGCCCCCTCTGCTACTTAACTGACCAGATCAATATCCCAGGAGTTTCACTGGCTTGATGCTAAAAGTGTTCCTTTAATTCTTTTGAACAGTGTATATATAGTGGGTATAAAAAGTCTACAGAACCCTGTTAAAATGTCAGGTTTCTGTGATATAAAAAAACGAGAGAAAGATAAATAATTTCAGAACTTTTTCCACCTTTAATGTGACCTACAAACTGTACAACTCAATTGAAAAACAAACTGAAGTAAACATAAAAAAATAAAATAATGAGGTTGCATAAGTGTGCACACCCTCTTATAACCGGGGATGTAGCTGTGTTCAGAATTAAACAATCACATTCAAAATGATGTTAAATAGGAGTCAGTACACACCTGCCATCATTTAAAGTGCCTCTGATTAACCCCAAATGAAGTTCAGCTGTTCTAGTAGGTCTTTTCTGACATTTTCTTAGTCGCATCCTACAGCAAAAGCCATGGTCCACAGAGAGCTTCCAAAGCTCATTGTTAATAGGTATCTGTCAGTAGAAGGGTACAAAAGAATTTCCAAGGCATTAGATATACCATGGAACACAGTGAAGACAGTCATAATCAAGTGGAGGAAATATAGCGCAACAGTGACATTACCAAGAACTGGACGTCCCTCCAAAATTGATGAAAAGGCGAGAGGAAAACTGGTCTGGGAGGCTACCAAGAGGCCTACAACAACATTAAAGGAGCTGCAGGAATATCTGGCAAGTACTGGCTGTGTGGTACATGTGACAACAATCTCCCGTATTCTTCATACTATATCTGGGCTATGGGGCAAGACGGAAGCCTTTTCTTATGAAGAACATCCGGCTAAATTTTGCAAAAACACATCTGAAGCCTCCCAAAACCATGTAGGAAAATGTGTTATGGTCTGATGAAACCAAGGTTGAACTTTTTGGCCATAGTTCCAAAAGATATGTTTGGTGCAAAAATAACACTACATATCTGTCAGGAATGGACTCGCCAATGGTGGTAGGACTCACCTGCCTTGTGGGCTGCAGTACCAGGGCTGGCCAGTGGGTGCTCTCAGCAGCCAGAAGCTCACTCCTGCAATCAAGCCATCACCTGAGGCTGATTGCAGGAGGTGTATTTAAGGAATGGCCAGGCCTGCAGTCAGGGCCCTGGTGTATTGTTCCCATGAGCCCCTGTACCTGCATCCTGTCTGCTTCCTGCTTAACTCCTTGATCCTGACTCTGCTTGATCCTGACTCTGCTTGAATTCTGCCTGCACCGACCTCGGCTACTCCTGACCAATCTGCTGCCTACCCCCTTGTACCTTTTCTGCCCGTTAGCTACTGACCCGGCCCGCCAGACTACGTTGTGATCCATATTTATATATATATATATATATATATATATATATATATATATATATATATATATCAGTTAAGGTTTGGGTCTCTTGTACCTTGTTGTACATATTTGTGTTAGTTTTGGGTTTAGTTTGTTGCACTGTGTTTTTGTTTGTGTTGCCCTTAATAAATTATATTGTTTACACGCTATACCTGAAGTCTGTGTTTCTCTGTGTCGGTCCACACACCTCTGGTCTTACCTGGAGCCCTGACATTACACCAAGGCCAGTCCTGACCAGAAGTGGCTGCACAGGGAAGCCATCTTGGCTTGTTGTTGGGAAGGATGCATCCTGAGGAGGTTGTGTATTTATCTCTGCTAGTCTTAGATGACAGAGATTATGCCTATCAGACTCTGAAGGAGTATGCCAGGGATCAGCTGCTAGAATGCATACAGGTCGCTCATTCCCTAGTAGATCAGGGCACGGAGTTCCCTGAGGTGCAACCATTGATTCAGGCTTGTGTGGAGTTGGCTTCATCTAGTACCCCTGAAAGCAGGAATGACTTTTTACTGCCATTTAGTGCAGATCAAGTAGAGTCACTGGTATGGTTATTGGAGGATGATGCGGATTACTTCTTGGAGCATTATTCAGCATGTTCACAACAGGTGCTAGTGGATTGTATAAACGCAGTGCAGTCTTTGGTCAGACAGGCTTTGTGTAAGCTGAGCTTTCTTCAACCAGTAATACAGTCATGGTCAGATTTGTTACACCCAGCCTCAGGCAGCTTGCAACAACCCAGTCCTGTTTCTAATCATTCCTCTGCTCAAAGCTCTCTTCTCCATTTCCCACAGCACCCCCAGTGACAGCCCAGTATACCCTGCTATCTACCACATGCCAGTCCCCTGTTCCCACTCGCTGCACCTATCCTGCCTTTAACCCTGTAAAGAAGTCTTCTGTAGAAGCTGCTCCATCCGTTTACAGACCTGCGTTTACTTACAGTGCTCCAGTAACTAAAACCAAGAAGAAGCGAAAATTCTTTCCAACCAGTACCATCCTGCCAGTATCCAAACCGGTCAGCGTGCGGTCTGAGAACCTGCCTTCTGTTATCCAGCCTGGTGCCCCGGTGCCCGCTGTTCAGCCTGATGCCCGGATGCCTGATGACCCAGTGTACGCTACCCAGCCTGATGATCCTACCCAGCCTGATAATCCTACCCGGCCTGATGATCCTACCCAGCCTGATGACCTGATCCAGCCTGATGATCCTCCCCGGTCTGATGATCCTCCCCGGCCTGATGAAGCGATCCAGCCTGATAAACCGATCCAGCCAGATGATCCGATGCTCGCAGTCCAGCCTGACTCCCCGGTGCCCGCGGTCCAGCCTGACGCCACGGTGCCCGCTGTCTTGTCTGTCCTATCTGATGACTCGGTGCCCGCTGTCCTGCCAGATGACTCGGTGCCCGCTGTCGTGCCAGATGACTCGGTGCCCGCTGTTGTGCCAGATGACCCAGTGCCCGCTGCTCCGCCTGATGGCCCGGTGCCCGCTGCCTCGCCTGATGGCCCGGTGCCCGCTGCCTCGCCTGATGGCCCGGTGCCCACTACCCAGCCCGATGTGCCTCTGCCTGCTGCCCAGCCTGATGTGCCTCTGTCCGCTGCCCAGCCTGATGTGCCTCTGCCCGCTGCCCAGCCCAATGTGCCATTACGGTCTGTTTGGAGCGTCCTGAGGCCGCTCCTTGAGGGGGGGTACTGTCAGGAATGGACTCGCCGATGGTGGTGGGACTCACCTGCCTTGTGGGCTGCAGTACCAGGGCTGGCCAGCGGGTGCTCTCAGCAGCCAGAAGCTCACTCCTGCAATCAAGCCATCACCTGAGGCTGATTGCAGGAGGTGTATTTAAAGAATGGCCAGGCCTGCAGTCAGGGCCTTGGTGTATTGTTCCCATGAGCCCCTGTACCTGCATCCTGTCTGCTTCCTGCCTGATCCTGACTCTGCTTGAATTCTGCCTGCACCGACCTCGGCTACTCCTGACCAATCTTCTGCCTACCTCCTTGTACCTTGTCTGCCCGTTAGCTACCGACCCGGCCCGCCTGACTACGTTGTGCTCCATATTTTTATATATATATAAATATATATATATATATATATATATATATATATAAGTTAAGGTTTGGGTTTGTTGCACCTTGTTGTACGTATTTGTGTTTTTGGGGTTTGGTTTGTTGCACTGTGTTTATGTTTGTGTTGCCCTTAATAAATTATATTATTTTACACGCTATACCTGAAGTCTGTGTTTCCCTGTGTCGGTCCACACACCTCTGGTCTTACCTGGAGCCCTGACAATATCACCAAAAGAACACCATACCCACAGTGAAGCATGGAGGTGGCAGCATCATGCTTTGCGGCTGTTTTTCTTCAGCTGGAACTGGGGCCTTAGTAAAGGTAGAGGGAATTATGAACAGTTCCAAATACCAGTCAATATTGGCACAAAACCTTAAGGCTTCTGCTAGAAAGCTGATCATGAAGAGGAACTGCATCTTTCAGCATGACAACGACCCAAAGCATACATCCAGATCAACAAAGGAATGGCTTCACAAGAAGAAGATTGGAGTTTTGGAATGGCCCAGCCAGAGTCCAGACCAGAATCCAATTGAAAATCTGTGGGGTGATCTGAAGAGGGCTGTGCACAGGAGATGCCCTCGAAATCTGACAGCTTTGGAGTGTTTTTGCAAGGAAGAGTGGACAAATATTGCCAAGTCAAGATGTGCCATGCTGATAGACTCATACCAAAAAAGACTGAGCGCTGGAATCACATCAAAAGGTGCTTCAACAAATTATTAGTTTAAGGGTGTGCACACTTATGCAACCATATTATTTGAGTTTTTTTATTTTTAACTCCCTCCACCTAAAAGATTTCAGTTTGTTTTTCAACTGAGTTGTACAGTTTAAAGGTTGCATTAAAGGTGGAAAAAGTTTTGAAATGATTTGTCTCATTTTTTACATCACAAAAAAACTGACATTTTAACAGGGGTGTGTAGACTTTTTATATCCACTGCATAGTTATTAATAGAGATACCTCAAGATGAATGTTGCAGCAAAGTTCAGTTGCTCAAGATAAGATCAGTGGTCATGGGGAAATGACAATTGAAATTACCTGCAGGAACTGTGGTGTGGCACTGGAACTCAGATATGCCTTTGTACACTGCGTTTTAATCCCTCCCTAGTAGTTTTTAATGTGACATGCAACCGAATCTCAAACTACCTGAAGTGGCCATCAGATGCCTAACCTGGCTTTAGCCTATGCTGGTTATTAAAGGCTAAATTCGCCCCTTTTTTTTTTTTTTTTCTAAATTCCAGCTTCCCTATTTACCAATATACCTTTAATGTACCTACGTTGCAGAAAATAAAAAGATGTCCCTATATTGTAGGGCAGGCATAACCTCAGAATTTAGTTTCTACTATAGAAAACTCCTACATGACTACCTGGGATCCATACTACATGACGGGAAAATCGTTAGTAGAGTACTTCACCAGCTGACTTAAAGTGATTCTAAAGGCTTATTATTTTTAAGGAAAAAATAACAAACGTGTCTATACTTACCTGCTGTGTGCAGTGATTTTGCACACAACAGCCCGGATCCTCCTCGGGTCCCCCGCCGGCTCTCCTGGCCCTCCCTCCTGTCAAGTGCCCATTCACACACAGAGCTGTGGCTTGGCCATGCCCCCTCTTTCTTCTCATTGACTCACTGGCTGTAATTGACAGCAGTGGGAGCCAATGGCTCCCGCTTCTGTCTCAGCCAATGAGAAGAGGAAGTCCCATCATCTGGAATACGCAGTTCAGTTTTGGGTACCAATTCACAAAAAGAACATTGGGGAACTGAAGAAAGTACAGAGAAGGGCAACCAAACTGATAAGAGGCATGGAGGAGCTCAGCTATGAGGAAAGATTAGAGGAACTGAATGTATTCTCTCCTGAGAAGAGGAGATTAATGGGGGATATGATCAACATGTATAAATACATCAGTGGTTCATATAGTGAACTCGGTGTAGAGCTATTCCCCCAGTGGTCATCACAGAGGACAAGGGGGCACTCTTTACATCTGGAGGGAAAGAAATTTAATCTCCAAACGCGGAAAGGTTTCTTCACAGTGGGAGCTGTGAAAATGTGGAATAGACTCCCTCAAGAGTTGGTTCTGGCCAGCTCAGTGGATTGCTTTAAAAAAGGTCTGGATTCTTTCTTAGATACACAGAATTTAACTGGATACTAACAATTATAGGTAAAGTTGATCCAGGGAATATCCGAATGCCTATTGGGGGATCAGGAAGGAATTTTTTTTCCCTGCAGGAGCAAATTAGATCATGCTTTGCTGGGTTTTTTTGCCTTCCTATGGATCAACTGTGGGTATAGGACTATAACTTTTTTTTTTTTTAAATGGTTGAATTGGATGGACTTTTGTCTTTTTTCAGCCAGACTAACTATGTAACTAAGTCCCGGGATAGCCGAGACTGCAGTGCACATCTCTGGATTGGGAGGGGGCTTAGGTGAGTATTAGTATGTGTGTATGTGAATGTATTATGTGTGTATGTAGTATGTGTGTATGCAGGGTTGCCAACTGTTTGTACATTTAGGGACAGTTTGTAAATTTCAAGCACCATGTCCACAGTCTCTGTCCATCCCTTGCGCCATGTCCGCAGTCTCTGTCCATCCCTTGCACCATGTCCGCAGTCTCTGTCCATCCCTTGCACCATGTCCGCAGTCTCTGTCCATCCCTTGCACCATGTCCACAGTCTCTGTCCATCCCTTGCACCATGTCCACAGTCTCTGTCCATCCCTTGCACCATGTCCACAGTCTCTGTCCATCCCTTGCACCATGTCCACAGTCTCTGTCCATCCTTTGCACCATGTCCACAGTCTCTGTCCATCCCTTGCACCATGACCGTAGTCTCTGTCCATCCCTTGCACCATGTCCGCAGTCTCTGTCCATCTCTTGCGCCATCTCCGTAGTCTCTGTCCATCCCTTGCACATTTATGCAGTTTCTGACCATCCCTTGTGCCATGTCCGCAGTCTCTGACCATCCTTTGCACCATGTCCACAGTCTCTGTCCATCCCTTGCACCATGTCCACAGTCTCTGTCCATCCCTTGCACCATGTCCGCAGTCTCTGTCCATCCCTTGCACCATGTCCGCAGTCTCTGTCCATCTCTTGCGCCATCTCCATAGTCTCTGTCCATCCCTTGCACCATTTCTGCAGTCTCTGACCATTCCTTGTGCCATGTCCCCAGTCTCTGACCATCCCTTGCGCCATGTTCGCAGTCTCTGTCCATCCCTTGCGCCATGTCCACAGTCTCTGACCATCCCTTGCGTCATGTTCGCAGTCTCTGTCTATCCCTTGCGCCATGTCTGCAGTCGCTGACCATCTCTTGCACCATGTCCGCAGTCTCTGTCCATCCCTTGCACCATGTCCGCAGTCTCTGTCCATCCCTTGCACCATGTCCGCAGTCTCTGACCATCTCCTGTACCATGTCCGCAGTCTCTGACCATCCCTTGCACCATGTCCGTAGTCTCTGTCCATCAAATCTCAGGACAGTGCAAAAATCCCCCAAAATGTCAGGACAGTACAAATACACCCAAATGTCAGATCAGTACAAATATCGCCCAAATGTCAGGACAGTACAAATACCCTCCAACCCTCCAAATGTCAGCGTGGTACAAATAACCCCCAGATGTCAGGACGGTATAAATCCCTCCAAATGTCAGAACAGTGCAAATATCCCCCAAATGTCAGGACAGTACAAATACCCCCAAATGTCAGATCAGTACAAATATCGCCCAAATGTCAGGACAGTACAAATACCCTCCAACCCTCCAAATGTCAGCGTGGTACAAATAACCCCCAGATGTCAGGACGGTATAAATCCCTCCAAATGTCAGAACAGTGCAAATATCCCCCAAATGCCAGGACAGTACAAATACCCCCCAATAGCCTCTTTTTGGAAAGTAGACAGTCTGAGGTAATTTTTTTGTCACACATTTTTGGAAAATTAAGACTTTTTTTGAAAAATAGTTTTTTCACACTTAGTTTTTTACATACTGTCACCAGTGCAGTATAGCATCATCACATAACTGGTCTGGCGGTGATCAGGGATTCTGACTGCTGAAAGCATGTAAAAAAAAAAAAAAAAAATTTAATTTCTTTAAAATTTTCTTTTTTTTGCAATTTTTTTTTAACACACTGTGACTAGAAGAATAATAATGACAATGATTAATTCAATGTTTACTATTGTGGCTAGTTGTGACTGACACTGTCTGTACCATGTGATTGCTGTGACCAATCACAGAGATCAACACAATCGTATACAATGGATGGCATGAAGGAATGCCATCCATTGTGTATACTTGTCATGTGATCTGCTGTGATTGGTCACAGCGATCATATGGTATCGGCAGCGGCCTGTACACTGTGTTTGGTGGACTCAATGGGTGACAGATCTCGCCGTAACGTGGCTCTTTCCAGGAGGACGTCATATGACGTTCACCCGGAATGGTGAATGTCCCACCCGGCCATAATTTGACTATAGGCCGATCAGGAAGTGGTTAATGTTGCCTCTTCACTGCCTGTTTAACCCCTAAAAACCTGCACCACAACGCATGGTGAATGAGTTGCATTTGATGGGTACTACTGCCTGCCCACTGAGTGAGACAGCATTTATAGCTGTTGCCCCCATCAGCTGCCTTTAGTGCTCAAGGGGGAGAAGTTGGTGGTGGTGGGCGATAAAAATGCTACGAGCTGAACACCCCCTGTGCCATTTCCGCAGTCTTTAACCATTCCTTGTGGCATGTCTGCAGTCTCTGACCATCCCGTGTGCCATGTCCGCAGTCTCTGACCATCTCTTGTGCCAGGTACGCAGTCTCTGACCATCTCCTGTACTACACCTGCACTCTCCTACCAACTCCTGTACTATGCTTGCAGTCTCTGACCAACTCCTATACTATGTCTGCAGTCTCTGACCATCTCTTGTACTACACCTGCAGTCTCTGAACAACTCGTGTACTATGTCTGCAGTCTCTGACCAACTCCTGTACTACACCTGCAGTCCCCTACCAACTCCTGTACTATGCCTGCAGTCTCTGACCAACTCCTGTACTATGTCTGCAGTCTCTGACCATCTCCTGTACTACACCTGCAGTCTTCGACCATCTCCTGTACTACACCTGCAGTCTCTGACCAACTCCTGTACTACACCTGTAGTCTCTGATCAACTCCTGTACTACACCTGCAGTCTCTGACCCCTCCCCTGTGACCCTCCCCTGTGCTAACTGCAGTAACCTCTAGCAACCAATCAGTGAGAGGTAATAATGTGCTGTAACCTCTAGCAACCGGTCACTGAGTGTGGACCAGTTTGTTATGTTTACATTATTAAAGGTTTTTTTTAGATAAGTCTATGTGTGTTTATTTGATTTTTGGAATTTTTAGCTGGAGAGCAAAATTGCATGGGGGAGCCCAAAAAAATCTTAGACTTTATTTAACCACATCCCTTTAAAGCCACACCCAATAGTTAGCATAATTTAAACCCCACCCAGTTTTTGGCATGGCACACTTTACTTACCGCCATATTTGTATACATAGGCCACACCCAGAAATCAATGCCCCACTCCTAATTTACATAGCGCTCCGCCTACACTAGGTTTCTAGACATACAGTAAAAAAAAGTGTCCCTAAATTTTTATTTTACATGTTGGCAACTATGCGTTGAGTGCACATGTGACTACACAGGTAAATATCTTCTAAACGGTGCACATTTGGAGATATTTACAGTACCTACAGGTAAGCCTTATTATAGGCTTACCTATAGGTACAATATAAACAGGTTTTACTACCAGTTTAACAGCTTCCCAACCGCTCTATAGCAGAAATACTGCTACAGGGTGACACGGGCTGCGCAAAATCATGTATATATATATATATATATATATATATACACGTGATTTTGTATTTCTGGGTAGGGGGAGCACGTGAGGCTATTTGCGGCTGCAGCTGTCATCACCAGGTCCCAGACGGTGATTACTTGCCATTGGCCGGTGATTGCCGAGCATCTCCGAAGGGGAGAACTGTTTGTAAACAATACAGTTCTCCTCCCTGTCAGCTCCTGCACACTACTTTGGATGGCTGCGCACAGCACAGCCATCCAAAGTAGTGTGCTTACAGTGAAGCACACTGGCACGGCCCCCTAGTAAAACACACACAGCACTCTGTTAACCCTTTGATCGCCCCTCATGTTAACCCCTTCCTGCCCTGTGCCATTAGTACAGTGTCAGTGCTTTTGTTTAGCACTGATCACTGTATTGGTGTCACTGGGGATGCCAATGACACCAAGTCAGTTCCCCCCAGTGTCAGAATGCCCACATCAGTGGCTGATCACTAGTAAAAATAACAAATAAAAAAAATATCCCAGTATACAGTCAGGTCCATTAATATTGGGACATTGACACAATTCTAACATTTTTGGCTCTATACACCACCACAATGGATTTTAAATGAAACAAACAAGATGTGCTTTACCTACAGACTGTCAGCTTTAATTTGAGGGTATGTACATCCAAATCAGGTGAACGGTGTAGGAATTACAACAGTTTGCATATATGCCTCCCACTTGTTAAGGGACCAAAAGTAATGGGACAATTGGCTTCTCAGCTGTTCCATGGCCAGGTGTGTGTTATTCCCTCATTACCCCAATTACAATGAGCAGATAAAAGGTCCAGAGTTCATTTCAAGTGTGCTATTTGTATTTGGAATCTGTTGCTGTCAACTCTCAAGATGAGATCCAAAGAGCTGTCACTATCAGTGAAGCAAGCCATCATTAGGCTGAAAAAACCAAACAAACCCATCAGAGAGATAGCAAAAACATTAAGCGTGGCCAAAACAACTGTTTGGAACATTCTTAAAAAGAAGGAATGCACCGGTGAGCTCAGCAACACCAAAAGACCCGGAAGACCACGGAAAACAACTGTGGTGGATGACCGAAGAATTCTTTCCCTGGTGAAGAAAACACCCTTCACAACAGTTGGCCAGATCAGGAACACTCTCCAGGAGGTAGGTGTATGTGTGTCAAAGTCAACAATCAAGAGAAGACTTCACCAGAGTGAATACAGAGGGTTCACCACAAGATGGAAACCATTGGTGAGCCTCAAAAACAGGAAGGCCAGATTAGAGTTTGCCAAACGACATCTAAAAAAGCCTTCACAGTTCTGGAACAACATCCTATGGACAGATGAGACCAAGATCAACTTGTACCAGAGTGATGGGAAGAGAAGAGTATGGAGAAGGAAAGGAATGCTCATGATCCTAAGCATACCACCTCATCAGTGAAGCATGGTAATGGTAGTGTCATGAGGTGGGCATGTATGGCTGCCAATGGAACTGGTTCTCTTGTATTTATTGATGATGTGACTGCTGACAAAAGCAGCAGGATGAATTCTGAAGTGTTTCGGGCAATATTATCTGCTCATATTCAGCCAAATGCTTCACAACTCATTGGATGCCGCTTCACAGTGCAGATGGACAATGACCCAAAGCATACTGCAAAAGCAACCAAAGAGTTTTTTAAGGGAAAGAAGTGGAATGTTATGCAATGGCCAAGTCAATCACCTGACCTGAATCCGATTGAGCATGCATTTCACTTGCTGAGGACAAAACTGAAGGGAAAATGCCCCAAGAACAAGCAGGAACTGAAGACAGTTGCAGTAAAGGCCTGGCAGAGCATCACCAGGGATGAAACCCAGCATCTGGTGATGTCTATGCATTCCAGACTTCAGGCTGTAATTGACATCTTGTTCGTTTCATTTCAAATCCATTGTGGTGGTGTATAGAGCCAAAAATTATAGAATTGTGTTGATGTCCCAATATTTATGGACCTGACTGTATATGCCACCATTTGTAAATGCTATAACTTTCACGTATACCAATTAATTTATACATATTGGGATTTGTTTTAGTAAAGACATGTCGTAGAACACATTTTGGCCTAAATTTATGAAGAAATTAGATTTTATTTTTTTTTTACTGGACATGTTTAATAGCAAAAAGTTTTCGTCTCAAAATTGTCAGTCTCTTTTTTTTTTTATAGAGGAAAAAATCAAATATGGTGGTATTTGATATACCACCAAAAGAAAGCTCTATTCGAGGGAAAAAAAAGGACATAAATTTGATTTGGGTGCAGCATTGCATGACCGCACAATTGTCAGTTAACGTAACGCAGCACCTTATCGCAACAAATTGCCTGGTCAAGAAGGGGGGTAAATCCTCTAGAGGGCAAGTGGTTAAAAAAAACTGGCATGCCGGGAATGTAACTGTAACTTGTGTTCTCAACCAAACTGTCAAACCATCAAATGGCTGGTGTCATAACTGATCAATGTGCAGCATCTTGGTGGCTGCAGATCAAACAGAAGCTAAGATGGCAGCTTCCTTGGCTGAAAAGGATAGGAGGGTTTAGTTCCCCTTTACATCCTAAGCTAAAACTAGCTATAGAATCCTAAACCAGAAATACAAAAATAACAGCTGCTTCATATAAACTCTATTGCAATACACAGGTTCACCTACTAATATACAGCAAGTACCCTACACATAGCACAGACCTAGTGATCTGACACTGTACATGTGCGGTAATAACAATAGGACAGAGACTCATCCTTTAGTAGGATTCAGAAATACACTCAAGAAGCTATGAGCAGCTGCAGGTAAACTATTGGAACATAAGAATTCCAGCTTCTAGTCTGGGTGAATGTGCATCAGCAGTAGCAGCCCCTGTGTGTGTACAAGGCCATTTGGCTCAGTTCTCTGTGTCTCATTTCCAACTTCTGAGGTTTTCATAGCCGCTCCCGAGACAGGAAGTGTTAATACATAATCAGTCTAGGCAGAGTTCATGATGTTTTGCTGCCATTCATGATTTATGGATGGAACTCACTGATCAGCTCAGGGAATGGCAGGAGAGAGCTCTGTGTTGGTAAACAACACAGAGCTCTCTTCAGATACCAGCGATGTGCTGTTTTCTTTTCTCATTGCAGTGCACACACTAAAGATTGGTCAGCATTTAACCCCTTGATTGCTCTAGATGTTAACCCCTTTCGAGCCAGTGTCATTAGTACAGTGACCTTGTAAAGTACTAGCACTGATCACTGTATTAGTGTCACTGGAGATGTCAGTGGCAGTTAGTCAGTTTCCCCCCAGCATCAGTTAGTGTCAGATTGCCTGCCACACTATGGCAGTCCCACTATATGGCGCTAATTGCCACCATTATTAGTATAAAATAAATAAATAACAATTCTACTATCTATACCAAGGGTCTCCAAACTTTCTAAGCAAAGTTTACTGTCCTTCAGACTTTTGGGGGGGGGCCGGACCGGGAAAATGCTCCGGCATCAGTGGAAATAAACAATGCCCCATCTTTGATGTTAGTGAGAGGAATTGTGCCCCACTGATGGTGTCATTGAGAGAAATTGTGGCCCATCATTGGTGTCATTGGTTGGACTTGTGCCCCATCGTTGTTATCACTGGGAGGAATTAGTTGGTGTCAATGGATTAAATAGTGCCCCAAGGGCCAGATAAAAGCAAGCAAAGGGCCACATCTGGCCCCTGGGCCGCAGTTTGGAGACCACTGACCTATACCATTGTTTGTTGACACTGTAACTTTCTCATCAACCAATCATTATACACTTATTGTGATTTTTTTTTTTTACCAAAGACATGTAGCAGAATGAATTTTTGCCAAAATTTATGAAGAAAGTTTTTTTTTTTTTTTAATGTATTGGATATGTTTTATAGCAGAAAATAAAAAATATTGTTTTTTTGTTTTTTTTTTCAAAATATGGGGTCCTTTTTTGTTTACATCACAAAAAACAAAAATCCAGTGGTGAACAAATACCACCAAAAGAAAGCTCTATTTGTATGAAAAAAAAATGGTATAAACTTCTTTTGCATTCAGCATTACATGACCGCACAATTACCTGTTAAAATAGTGCAGTGCCGGACTGTAAAAAATGGCCTGATCATGAAGGGGGTTAAATCTTCCGGAAGCTCAAGTGGTTAAAATATGTGGTAGCTTGAAATAAAGTGGAGACTGGGAAAGCTGGAAATTGATCACTTGATGAGGATTCAGTGCCGATTCACAATGATGCAAATTCTACGCAGATCAGATGTGATCCGAAAAGCATAGATTCGCATGTATTCTATGTGGTTATTATTTATATAAGTGGTATATAGGAACATCACATTGTGGTTATTATATATATATAGGTGGTATATAGGAACATCACATTGTGGTTAGTTATATATATATATAGGTGGTATATAGGAACATCACATTGTGGTTATTATAT